TTCACTTGATGTGACACAGGTAGTAAACAGAAGAAGTGAGATTCAAACTCAGGTATCAACTGTAGGTGGTCACTGCATCACACTGCCCCCCCCAACTCACAACACATATTTTATATTTAAGGCTTACAAAACATGTTCCTTCCTTAAAGTATTATTATCCCTGTTTTTTAAATGACAAAATTGAGGAAGGTTCTAAGAAATTAAGTGACTTAGCTACGATCGTACTATTATTATGTGTTTGAGGCAAAATTTGAACCTGGTCTTCTGACCCCAATGACATACTCTTTCCGTTATGTCACAGTCCTCTCATTTGTTACACTACTAGCCCTAGTTCTCTTGGGATCTATCTTTAGTGATTTGCACAGTAATCTAGATAGTGAAGTGAAAAATCTTGAATCCATGTCATATGAGGATTAATTGATGGAACTGGGGATATTTAGCCTGGAGAAGAGAAGATTCAGGGAGGGCATAATGGTTTGCCTCTGGTATCAGAAGGGTATTCATGTGGAAGGAGTATTCGGTTTATTCTGTTTGGCCACAGAAGGCAGAACCAGGACTAGTGGAAGTTTCAAAGAGGCAAATTTTAGCTTGATGTAAGGAAACGTTTCCTAACAATTAGAATTCTCTGTAAGTGGAACGGACTGTTTTGGGAGGGGTTCCCCATTATTGGAAGTCTTCAAGCAGAGGGTAGATGGCCACTTATCCAACATGCTACAGTGGCTATTCTTCTGTGGGGATGGGTGGGACTAGGAAGCCACAGAGGACCCTTCCAATTCTAAAATTTGGTGATTTCATGAAATGAGGCCGCTTGGGAGTCAGAGGACTTTGGCTCCCTGCAGGCTGGGCCATCAAGTAGCTCTGGGACTTCAACTTCTGTCACTTAACCTCCTTGAAGCTCAGGCTCATAAGTGCCCTCCCTATCTCATTGGGTTGTTTTGAGGAACAAATGGTATAATGTGTGGAAATCCTTGGTAAACTAAACTGCTTTACTAATCTAAAGTCATCACTACATAGATAGATTGCTGGGCCTGGAGTCAGGAGGACTGGAGTTCAAATACAGTCTCAGCTATTTACTAGCTGTGTGACCCCTGGGCAAGCCACTTAATCTCTATCTGCCTCAGTTTCCTCAACTGCAAAACGGGGATCAGAATAGCACCTATCTCACTGGGCAGTTGTGAGGATCAAATAAGGTATTTGTAAAGTGCTTAGCATGGTGATTGTCACATAGTAGACACTGAATAAATGCTTATTCCTCTATCCCACATTGATTACTATTCTATTACCTTTGCTCTTTGGTAGCTACAAGGAATTTTTAGCTCCAGCCTCTTCCTCATTTAAACTTTAGGACACACTCACGTCCCCATTCCCAGAAGTGAGAGCCTAGTACCTTTGTGGGGACTGAATTCCACCCAATATCCTAGCATTTTGCTTGCTCAGTTTTTACGGAAAAGTGACTGCATATTAATCCCTGCCAGTTAACCCAATTAAAGCTGTTTGGAAATTAGAATGATTCACATAATAAGCTCACAAGCTTATTTAATTGATCTCTTCTTAAGCATTCTGTATTGTTTTTGTTGGTGGTAGGTTTTTTGTGGAGAAGGAAGGGAGACATCTTGGTCATTTGCTCTGCAGCATTTTATTCTTTTAGCAGATTGTTTTGTCTGGTTTTCCCTTGAGTTGGGGAAAATGTATTTGCATTTTCATTCTGATTATTTGTCTGGGGTTTTTTGGTTTTCTTTTACGTGGTTCAAACCATTTATGCCTTTCAGAGACATTACACAAATTTCTGATACTATAATTTACCTTCCTTTTTCTCCCTTTACACCTATTTAGTTCTTATGACTTTCAATTAAAATGTCCTCGCAAGCCACAGTTGCATGAGGGGTTTTTTTTTTCTGGCTGTAGCTTTTCACATATTAAAGAAGTTAATTTCATTTTCTGATCTGCAAAAATGAATAAGTAATCCTTTTCACCTGATTAGTAGAAATTCTGTTATGCGTGAATGACTAGAGTGAATAAGAATATCAAATGAAACAGACAATGTGTAAGACTGGATTAATAGTACATGCCTCACAACAGCACTATGAAAACTGAGCAGTTGATATTTTAAAAGCAAATGTCTTAATTTGCTTAAAGAAAAGGGCAATCTACAAATGTGCATTTCATGCCCTAAGAGGAATAAGAGATATAAGCAAGGAAGAGTCTGATAGTGAGATATGTCTATCAATAAAGGGGAAAGATTGATCAATTCTCTCTCAGTCATTTGACCATGTTATTCAATAAATAATTGGTTGGAAAAAGGGGGAAGTGGTAGGGTGCCATGTAAAATCCCTTCTAAAAGTTATTCTTAAACCATGTGGTCAAAGTCCACAGTTAAGAAAATCCTTCTCCACTGACAAGCAAAACAGTGTCCTTTAATCCTCCTGTACTTGTCTTCCTTTCTCTTTCTCTCTTTTTAGAAGGCACCTAGGTAGCTTGGTGGATAAAACAATAGGTTGAGAATCAGGAGGATGTAAGTTCCAATTTGACCTCAAGTTCTTATTAGCTGTGTGACCCTGGGCAAATCACTTGTTTGCCTCAGTTTCCTCAACTGTAAAATGAGGACAATTACAGCACCTATCTTTCAGGGTTGTTGTGAAGATCAAATGAGATAATATTTGTAAGGTAGTCAGCATAGTGCCTGGTACATAATAGGTACTATACAGATGCTTATTCCCTTATCTTCCCCTTTTTCTAGGAAGAATCTAAGATTTGAGAAAGATGTTGGGCTTTCAAATTTTTTTTTAATTTTGCAAAAGAAAAGGTTTGAGGGCACAGGAGAACAATCTTCTCTGGATTCTCCACTGAAGGCTTGGAAAATAAGTAATATGGTCAGAAAACAGATACACAGAAAAGTGATGGGAATTTTCTTTTCTTGATGCCATTCCCTAAACTAACTAGCTCTGGCTAGGTTAAGCAGGAAGCCTAAGATCTTGCTATAGGTTTACACTGGAGCATTATACTTTTAAGGAGCAGGAGGTATGGAGCTGTACATAGGGATGAAGGAAGATGGGAGATCTAACTCAGCTGTTACAGGTATTCCTCAAGAGTCATTTCAATTTAACAATCCATGGTGAGGCAATTTGATATTTGTATCACACAAGGAATCATGTACATGATTTCTTAGTACTCTTGAATTCTTAGTATTTGTTAGCTTCTATACTTATTTTTCCATGATAGAAAATTAGACCAATATACCCTCTAAAATAATTCACATTTAAAATGTATGTAGCACCTTGTTTCCAGGACCCTCAAAGTACTCCACATTTATTATCTCAGTTTTTCCACGATAAAGCATTGACATAAACAGGACCGGCTGGTTTAAAAAAAAATGGAGAAACAGTGCCCACGAGAACCAATGTCAGAACCTGGACTTGAACCCAGCTCATCTGCCCACCAGTCTAATGCATTCTTCCTTGGGAGATTTTGCTCTTTGTAGGAAGCATCATTCCTTACTCATGAATAACTAATCAGACTGACACATTTTTATGGACAAAAGCAGGCACAGCCTAGTGGCCTGATGCCCTGTCTGAAACTGACACCTGGTCTTGTGCATGTAGTCCTGGGTGGTCAAAGTATGGACAAGGAAATGGAGACATTTGGGTAGCTGAGGTAGAGGTTAATGGTAAGTGTACGGATGCTCAACTTCATTACTCCATCAAACTTTAACATTCATGTTTCTTTACACCAAAGCTCAGAATATAGTACTCTGAAAATGAAGAAATTCATCTTCCTGAAAGTGTGAATTGTATTCACAGTCCTGAATACAGGCCCACACCTCTAATACCCTTTATAATTACTGCTGAGATTATTTGTAAAACAAAACCCCAATCCTCTTTAATTCTGCTGGGTTTAAGGACTGCAAACCCATTTCAGTTCAGCACCAGACCTAGGGACAGAGACGCCATAAACCAAATCCCTTTTTCCTCAATTGATAAAAATCACCATCTCGTCTGTGTATATGTGTGTGTGTGTGTGTGTGTGTGTGTGTGTGTGTGTGTGTGTGTGTCTAAAAGGGCTAGGGAAAAAAGTCCGGTTTCTACAGGTATTTGTCAAATTTATTTATCAATTTAAAATATAAATAACCATCCAATACCTTCCCATTTAATGAACCTCTCTTCAGATGAGGAAAAATGTCTTAGCTCTGCCAACAGCAAATATCAGTGACCTACATATAGAGAAAGGGGTCCCCAAATAAGATTATCTGGCTGAGAAGTACAGAGATTTTTCCAAAAAAGCATTTCTTCCACGCATTCTCAGTGCTTTCTTCCACGATTTTCAAATATACTCCTGTGCCATATAAATTGGATTTCCTAAGGGCTGTGTATTTTAGTTGGAAGTTGGGAGAGGGGAGTGTTTGGCAAAGAGAAACACCAAGAACAATACATTTCTCAGTGCTGTTCAAATAAAGGCAAACCTTCCACAAATACATGTGAATTAGAAATATGTATATGTATATAAACATATATGTATATATATACACATATGTATGTATATTTATTGATACTTTCAATGAAATGCATATTATTTTACTCTAAAAGCATACCAGGATGGCTAAATAGTTAGGACATTGCTCTTCTGAAAATATAAAAACATTTCTCAACAACCCCTCCACCCCATGTTTTGATTTATGTCCTTTGGGCTACAAAAGAGCTAGAGATCATTTCTGTAGTTCCAAAGACATACATACTTTCCAGTTGGAGTTTTTCTTTTGTTCTTGGCTTGCTCATCCTCCCTTATCTTGATCACCATCCCCCACATAAAAACTCAGAAAAGGCTTCGCGTTTCTTTTTTAAATTGCATGCATTCATGCTTTGCCGATGTCGGAGCCCCTGTAATCTAGCTAGGAGGATCCCCTCATCTCTTTAATACTGATGATCACGTCTCCAGGTTGCATCCGACCTCCTGTCTCCTCCCCAAATCTACCCCTGCCCACAGAGCGTGCTGCTACCTCAACTTACCCGGTGCTGGGTACCTGGGGCTGCTGGAGAGAACTAGGAGAGAGGAGAGACGCTCACTCACGGGCTTTGTCTCCAAAGCAGATCACTAGGGTGGTGGCCAGACACTGTGGCATCGCTCTTCATTTGGAGTGGGGGCTCAGCAAGCAGCAGCTACGGAAGCAGCAGCAGCAGCAGCGGCGGCGGCAACAGCATCACTGCAACAGCAGAAGTGGGAGGCGCGCAGGCTGGATGCAGCCGAGCCTCCCCTGGCACATAATGAGAGGCAGGCATACACAGAGACAGAGCAGGAGCGGGATGGGCAGCTCCCGGGCTCCAATAACGCCTCAGCCCCTAATGGATTCACTATGGAAACGCGCACGCCCTTCACACCCCGACCCTCCCTCTTGCGGCCCCACCCCCCAAGGCCGTGTCTGCCTCCTCCACGGCTCTGGCCCCGCTCCGAAAGTCCCCCCAGCCCTAGTCCTTGCGGCGCGCGCCGCCCACGCGCCTCCCGAGGCCAGTGGATGGGGAAGGAGGCTAGGGAAAGACCACGCGGAAAGGGGGTGTGTGTGTGGGGGGAGCTGCACTGTTGCGACCTTTTTCATGCTCATCTCCCTCACCCCACCCTGTACCCCTGCCCCCCATAACTGTCTTTAGGAGGAAACACTCCCAACCCTGGGGACCTTCTCCATCCTTCCCCAATATCCAATTCCTTCTCATGTTTCTCAAGGCTTGGTTATGAAATAGGGAGAGATGTAACCTTCTGCTCCTACCCCCACCCCTCTCGGGCTCCTTTGGTCTACGACGGTCGCGCCCACTTTGCGACAGGGTCTTTGCCTTTCTCTGGAGGAGTTGGGAAGGAAAAGGAGCCAGGGGGGAAATCCCCGCCTGCTGATTACGTCAGGTGATGCGTCACTCGGGGCTCCCGCACTGAAATCTCCGCGTTCTCGGCGCAGAACGCACGTGCCGCGGGTTCCCGGGCAGGCGGCCTTGAGAACCAGGCCTCCAGAGGTGGGGCAGGGAAGGAAGCTGGAGTGTTTCGGGGGCGCCTGCCTTATTCCTGCCTAGCTGGTTTGTCGGAACAAGGCGCGTCTAGTTCGCGTCCGCTTCCACCCTTCGCCATCGACCAAACAAAGTGGATCTTTGGGTGGTGAACGCGTTCTCCTTCGCATGCTTCACAGCAGTTGTAATTGTAATTAAAGCAAGATAAGGTTACAGGAAGTAGAGCTGTACCTGAAAGTGGCGTTGATGGGGGTGGGGGGAGGAGGAATAAGGAGTTAACTAATGTGCTCAGCCAACCCAGTACCTTTCTTTCTGGAGCTGTGAAGGTAGGAGAAATAAGGCTGCACCAGGGAGAGAGGATGTATAGCAGCTGCAGCAAGAGGTAGGGTACTATCACTTCAGTTCCAAAGAAGAAAGAGAATAATACAGTACAGAAGTGTTGCATCTTCTGTGGTCAGGAATTCATAAATTAATGCCAGTGGAGAACAAATTGTTTTGGGGAGAATGGTTAATCTTAGACTCTGACTTTAACAATTCCTAAATAAAGAGTCTGTGAATTACATAGGTTAGCTAATGCTTACTACTAGTACAGCTATGTTTCTTTAGTTAGAAATGTCTCAAGGATGGTGCTCTTTCCTTTTTTAGGGTTAGACATTACAGAATCTGCTCATTAAGATATACAAAAGCATTTTACACAGTTCAGAAAAGTATCTGTTTTGGAGAAAAAAACTATTTTGAAATCCTTTGCACAAGACATTAGGGCTGATTAGAAAATATTTTTTGGAAGTCTTCTCTTCACCCATTCCTATCTCATCCTACCCTAGCAACAGCCTTTAAATGTCAGAGCACTTGTTTCTGAAATGTCTGATCTTCATTGATTTGACATTTGCCCCAGACAATGCACATCTTAGCCAAGTCCAGAATTCTAATAAGATCTATGAGGTCAGAAAGGTTCACTTGGAGCCCAGAAACATCTCACACTGATGCTTTCAGGTCTCTCAGGTGCATATTTGAAGGAGAAAAATGAATTTGGTTAAAGAAATCACATGGGTAAGTGTACAGTGTGGTGACATTTTTGACTGAATAACAAGGAAGTTCATACATAATCTGTGTTCAGAAGTCAGTACACAAGCATTTATTGTTTACTAGTTAGTGTACATACAGTACAAGGAAAGGCAAAAACAAGGTCCCTGGTCTTCTTCAGGAGCTCACTTTCTAGTGGGGGAAGCAACACAAATAACTATTTTTGTACATGGCATATACACTACAAATAAAGAGTGATCCCAGAAAGCACCATGGGGAGGTGACAAAGTAAGAGAGTGGAAGGGAACTAGGAAAGGCCTTCTGAAGGTAGAATTTGAGCTGAGTCATAACTGAAGCTGGAGAAATTAGGAGTTGGAAATGATGAAGGAAAGCATTTCAGGCATGGAGGATAGCTGTTTTGGCAGGTGAAAGAGGGGAGAGATTCGAGGCAGGTAGACCAGTTAGAAGGCTATTGAAATAGTCCAGGTGAGAGGTGCTGAGAGTTTGTACTAGAATGGTGGCAATATGAGAAAAGGGGACATATGTAAGTGATGTTTCAAAGGTAGAAATGACACGATTTGATGAGAGAATGGATATTGTGGTGAGTGGTGGCTAAAAGGATGGTGGTGTCCTAAACAGTGACAGGATCAAGGTAAACCTTGTCTTTGATTTCTGTATCTGAAAGATAACCTGTCAGACAAAGGATACTTTTGTTATGTGACCAGAGCCGATTAAGAGGGATGTTACAGAATTCCAGATTTTTAATATTTTTTCAGGGGAAGAAAAACTTCTAGGTTATGGTAAGGTTGAAGGGTGATTTAAGACGGCAAAATATTTTGCTTGGCAGAGTGATTTTACTGCATGCAATAACGTTAAGACTTTTCCAGATTTATGGAAAGCCTATTTACTTTTGAGAAATCATATTTAGAGAGTGATGACAGTTTTCTTGATGTTTGACTTGTGTGTAGTCCTAAATAAAGCCTCAAGCAAAGTTAATGTATCCTTCAGTGGAATTTACAAAAAGCTATAGTAATTTTGTGAAAGGACATGTATTATACACACCTTTACCAACCCACAGTTTAATTCTTACATCCTTTTAAGGATCGTCTAGATTTTTGTGACTGATAAAAATGTGATCTGTAGAAATACAATAGAGGACCAAAAGGGCAGTAACATACTTTTTCTCCAAGGAAAGTTTTGTTCATAGTTGAAGTGCCTCAGGGTTCAAGAACAGAACAGGCAGAGATTTCCAGCAAGAGATAGCTTTGGATGAGAGAAGTATATTGACAAGGGGCCCCCAGTGGGGGATATGACTCAGGATGGAGATTATCAAGAATATAATCTAAAATTTGTTTCAGGATGTATATTCCCCAGGTTTGAGGATGAAGGGGATATGAGATATGATTAGAGTCATTCAGGCAACAGTTATTTATTAAGGGTTTACCGCATGCCAGGCACTATGCTGGAGATAGACAGTCCTTGTTTTCAAGGAGTTAATAGTCTAATGGAGGAGATGACATACAAACAAGATATATGAGATACAATTGGAAATAATCAAAAGAAGGAAGGCACTAGCATTAAGGGGATCAGAAAAGACTTCCTGTGGAAGGTGGGACTTCAACTGGAATTTGGATGGAGCCAGGGAATTCTGGAGGTGGAGATAAGGAGAGAATAGCAGGCTTGGGGACAGCCAGTGAAAATGCCCAAAATTGAGAGATGGAGTGTTTTGTGGTAGGAACAGCAAGGAGAGGAGTGTCAATGGATCCCAGAATATACAAGGTGGAGGTTGGGAAGGATTGAAGAGAATTGAGAGCAAGAGGAAAGGAAGTGGAAGCATCAATTGTAGGTGGCCTCAAGGATTTTGTCCAATATAGGAAACAGATAGGGGACAACATCCAGAAGGGAGGGACAGATAAGTGAGGGTTTTTCGAGGAGGGAATAGGCATGGGTATGTTTATAGGCAGTAGGGGAAGAGTCAGTACACTGGGTGATATTGAAGTGAGAGAGTGGGGATGATGGGAGGGAACAATCTACTGAAGAAGATGGAATGGAATGGGATGGGATCACTTGCACCAAGTAGTTTGCCTTGGCAAGGAGAAGGGCCTGTCTTTTGTGAGACAGGGGTAAAGGACATGGTAGGAAAAAGGCATCAGAGTGATGTGAGATGAGGAGAAGAAAAGGGAGCCCTCAGTGAATGGCATCAGTTTTTTCCAGTAAAATATAAGGTGAGGTCCTCAGCTGAGAGAGTGGGAGGAGAGGGAGCCATAGGACGTATGAAAAGCTTTGGAAAAGCCACTGTGCTGAGTCAAAGGATTGCCTTGTTGCAGTGAGGACCCAGTTGAGATTACGTAGCATTCTTCAGCTTGTAAGAGTGAATGAAGTATAAAAAAGGGGGGGAGCAGTGAGGTGGCACAGTAGATAGGGCACCAGCCCTGGAGTCAGCAGGACCTGGGTTCAAATGCGGCTTCAGACATGTAACACTCATTAGCTGTATCTCTGGGCAAGTCACTTAACCCCAATTGCCTCATCAAAAAAAAAAAATTGAATGCAGTGGTTGGTAAGAGTAATCCAAGGTTGAGGCTTGGCAGGGCAGGATAAATGAGCAAGAGACCTGGAAGATAGTGAGGAATTGAACCAGTTCATCAAGGGACAGAGATGGGGAAGCGAGGGTAGTGTAGCCAGTACAAGGGTGGTAGACTAGAAAAGACCAGAGGGGTCAAGGGACTGGAGGTCACAGTGAGGACAAAAAACATGGTTTGGGGTGGAAAGACAGAGGGAGATGTGGAATGACTATACAAATATTATTAGATAAGGAATCTTAAGTTCGTGAATATAGAAGTGGAACATTTGTGGGTGACAGCAAGATTGAGGATATGACCATCCCTGTGTGCAGCCACGGTAGGGTGGAGTAGGTCATGGGACATGGATAAATTAAAGAATTAAGAATAAATTAAAGAAGGGTGTTTGAGGGAGGATCAATATGTATATAGAAAGAAGTCCTCTACCATGAGGGAAGAAATTGGGGAGGTGAGAAAGGCCAGGTACTGAAATCAATGAGGAAAAAAGCAGAACTGTCTTTAAGGTTAATAGACAACAGCTACTGGAATTTTGATGGGGTGAACACCAAATGAGAGATTATTTCATGATGGTGGTAGAATGAGACCCTGGAAGTGGCAAGAAGGAGCCAGGAATATTGGCTCCTCCCCTACCTTTACCAATGAGTTGGGGAATGAATGAAATGCAAATAGTACTGGCAAGGGTGACCAGAAAGTAACAAGAGTGGACTAGAATGTGTAACAAAATGTAAAAAAAATGAGCACACATTTCAGAACTCCTACACCTAACTGTAGACTGTCCTCTCAAATAATCACTTTGGGGAGGCTATATGGCACTGTTTAACAGTGTTTTTACAACTTTTTGTTCTCAAGAACCAATTGATGAAATATACTTCCCTTTTCACACTTCTGTGTATACCAGTGCTCGAGCGCACGCACACACACACACACACAACACATCCCTTGTTACTTTATAATATATACACAAACCCCCCCCCACTGTATTACCCTTTTTAATCACTCACCTTATTTATCAGATTTGACCCAGGATTAATTTTAGCTGTTTCCGTAAATATTTGTCTTGAAACATGTCTCTACTGGGGATATTTAGAAGAATGTGTTCTGAAAGCTCTTCCAAAAGAGATATTCAAAAAACAAATATATATTTTTAGAATAAGTATGTATAGTCATCTTTTAAAATAACTTTTTTAT